TGTTGGGGGCAATATGCTGACTCTCTGTAAACCGCTTAGAGAGGGCTGAAAGCCCTATGAAGCGGTATATAAGTCTACTGCTATTGCTATTTACCCTACGTGCAAAATACATAATTGGGTGAAGAAATGTCAATAACTTACACTGTGCCTATGACAGAATTCTGATGGCTAAAAATGCAAATAACCCATGAGTTCTACTCATGGAAGTGCAGAGGTGGATGGATTCAGTGGCAGCAACTATAGTGGTGCTGTTGAGACACCTAAAGATACAGATGGGGACAGATTATTCTGTGAAGATCTGCCCATGCAGTTGTAACAGACGACACCAACCGGATGTCACATAATTGATCAAGCTGCAGCACTGCTGTAGTGCAAAGGCTTTCCTAAAGGCAGCATAGCGAGTATATGGTTAATATTCAAACTCCCCCATTTATCTCTTGTCATGCTGACAAAACCACAGTTCGTAATCTATATGTGAATTCCTGTCACTGAGTCACTAGGCCTGCCAGACATCCATATTTGACTCAGAGTTTTGGGCTGGAACTTCTCCAGATGCAAAACGTCTGCAGAACAAAGGCTTTGGAAATGTGAAGCTCTCATGTTCTGAGCATCCAGACAGCACAGCTGGTATTACATTTCAAGATATCAAGGAAAGTCAAAACCTGGCAATAATGCACAGGAATAAAAGAAACCAAATTCTGGAGCTGCTTTCCTGACTCTGCAATATGCTCTTAAAGCAGCAGAGGATACAGAGTGCATTTCAGTACTGCTATAACTCTGAAAACGCAGCTCTGTTCATTCCAACATACTCTCTTGTTATTTAAAAGGACTCTCTCTGCATTCACTGCAACCTTTCTGAAGGCGCTCCATCTGTCCAAGATGAACAAGTGATAACACGGGGCAGTACTGGGAGGTGGAGAGCCATGTGCAGCATGCTCACCCTTTTTGCAGCAAGAAGCTCATTTGGGCACTGCTGCATGACAGGAAAATTGCTACCAAGTCAGTAGCTATATAGGCAGAGTCTGGCTCATGGTGCTCTACAAACCATGCCTTCAGGAGATAAGGGAAATCTGTTTTAAGTTAATAATATTCAAGGTTTGCCACAAGTCTTTTTGCCTTTGCCCAATGGTAATTCAGTTCATGGAGCCAAATAGTGATGACAACAATGTAAAATGTATATGTCATCCCAACAACTTAGTGAAGCTTGTTGAGCTGGCCAACTTAGCAATGGCACTATAATCCTCGTGTTTAGCTTTTGATGACCCAGAGTGCTGAGCCAGAAGACTGGCCCTTAGGCTAAGCACATATTTAAGAACAGTTATTTGAATGAATATATCACTTGTAGGGCTGCACAATTATCTGCACAATCCAAAAGGGAAAAAGTGATCTGGTGTGCACATGGGGAAGTGTCCCATGTGTGCTTGCACACACAATGAAGCACCACCTTTTCCTCCTCAAATCGAAAGTAATTCAAAGTCCAATGTCTTGTAAGTGAAGTCTCTATTAATTGAACAGCTTTCTTCCATTCTGTTTAAAAAGCAAGTGTAATTGCATGAAGGGAGACCAAGAGGCAGATGGGCTTATTTTGGTTATTTGAACAGCCTGTTCTCAGTTTCTGTTATCATTTTCAAGACTAAGCAGGTTATCACATCAATGCATTTTCAAAAAAGTTCCTTGCTGCAAGCCACCAGCATCAACAGGCCTTTGCTAGAGTGCTCTTTGCAGGAAGGAGTCTACATTTTGTCCAGTGTAAGCTAGGTAGTAAAAGCTGACACAATTCTTATCAAGTGAATTGCACTCTATTTCCAGTTTTAGTAATATACCACTTTTCATCTGCCTTTTCTAAGCTGCTACTTGCCTTTACCCATTTAACTTAGACATCTGGCATTATTGCTCATCAAGGACTTTCATGAAAATAAAGTTTGAATCACCTACTACAACAGTCTTCTCCTCCTGATAACTTATCTTAACATGGATAAGGTTATACTATAATATTTAATGAAAATAACCCAAATGTTCTTAACCTTTCCTTTGCATTTGTTCCTCTTAGCTTTGGCAGTTGGTACAACCCCCAAAACACAGTTATACAGGCTCTTAGTTTTTAATTAGAAGAACTAAATAAGAACTAATTCTTATTTAGAATTCAGATAAAGTCAATCAGTTCAAATTATACTGTCAACTTCCGGAAGTGAAGCCCGCCCTTTTGTGTGCTCTGTATAACAAGTTTAGATAATCTCTTCTAGGCTGGAAAGACAAAAGCGACACTTTTCAAAAGAACAGGAAACTGTCCAAAGAATTGCAATATCCACCTATTATTGACTCAAAACATAACTGGCATGACCTCATAACATGTAAATATCTCCCAAACATTGTAGGTTTAATATGACAAAGAATAACATTAATATACAGCACAACATAGACCTATAGTCAAAAATACAATGTTGTCCAATGTTAAAAGTACTTTTCTTCTAAACTCTTCCTCAGAGCTTCAGATTCTTAAAGCTAGTTATACTGTTTCATACAACTCTTATGGGCATATTATCTTAATGCAGTCGGTATTTAGATAGCTGTGAATGATCATGTGAACTCAACTCAGTTCTTTTTCCAGTTCAAGTATAAAAAAATGTTCAATATGGGACAGTGTCAATAAACTTAAATCAACCCAGCTCAAGTGGATCATTGCTAAAGCTAATGTAGGCACAAACCCATCAAAAAAGAAAGCATGCCCACATGAGATGTTTGCAGGAAGCAGAAGTGGGAAGAATCCATGGTATGTACTTTGTGGCATCATGACTTACATCCTTGTGTCAGGCATCATGACACAAGTGCTAAGTTGTTTTTTGCATGATGTTGTCAGGATGTGCCATTATCTTATGTCATTGTGGTTTGTTATAGCAACAGGCCCAACTGTGTACCCTTGTAAAGTATAATTTATATGGATTACTTTGTATAATCTGTTATATATTACTTTGTAATTAAAAGCACTGCAAAGTTACTGTATACTGTTGAGCTGGGTCTAAATGTGGGGATTCCTTTAATAGATTTGAACAATCTGGCTATTCTTTGTTTCGTCTATTAATGAATGAATCCAGCTCAGATATTAACACCTAGCTGACCCTTTTCTAATCTTGAAAAAAAAAAGCTAAGCAGTAACCCATTTTGATTTTAGATCGTACTTGGGATGGAAAACCAGCAGGAAATCCCATGGCAATAGGCTACCCAAAATGTTATCATATTTATATAAATAAATCTAGTTGGATATGTGCATTTAGCAAAAAACTAAGCTTAACTTAATGGCACCTTTATGAGTTAAACAGAAATTAGATTATGTTTATATGGGGATGGATCTCTCCCACTTGCAACCTTAATCTGTGATTCACATCCATTCATTGTCAGACTCAAATTAGAAAAGGCATTGACTTCCAGTTGACTGATGTCAAGGAAGCAGTTTCCTCCAATATTCTTTTTTGGAGTCCTCTCACCTTGGGTAGATCAGTGGCTCCCCGGATCCTCATAGCTACTAATTCTCCCTCAGGATGGATCTTGGCCACATGTTTCCACATTCTTTCCCAGGTAGCCTCATTGATGGGAAGCCCTCCACGGTTCACAAAGAAAGGGACCCCTCCATCTCGGAGGTCTTCATCTCCATCTTCTTCTTGCTCTTCTTCTCTCTGGGCCACTCCTTCCCTGGCCTGGGACCTCTGCAGAACAGCAGCACCGCCGCCACCACTATCCACTTTACAACCTGACATCCCAGCATCCACCAAGCTCAGACCACAAAACCTTTGGGCCCCTTCAGATGGCTTGAGACAGAAGAGCTGCTGCTGAAGACATAGCAGTTAGAGAGTGGAGGCCCTTTAAGACAGACAGACAAAAAGGGTGGGGCTCATTCATAAAGGGGAAAGAAAAGTGCAACAGCAACGCTGAGGTTTTTGAAATTCTCCAGCCAGGAAGGAATGAGGCTATTTGCTTTGGGAACTTCAGAATTTCTGCTCAGAAAGAGACCCGCCTAGCTGTCTCTCAAGGCTGCAGAGATAAAACACCACCAGGTTCCATCATCCGGAGAAAGGAAAGGAGGGAAGGTGAGGATCTGGGAACACAGGACTCACTCACCTAGCTGGACATCATTAGATGGTGGCCACCAGGTCCGGGAAAGCATGCCAAGAGCAAGAGGGAGACGCTAGAAGAGCCGGAGGAAGGCGATCTCTTACCCACCCGCCCACCCACCCCACGCAGCGGAGAAAAGAGAGGCAGACAAAAGATGAAGCAGCAGGCTACACTCAGGCAGGAGGGCGGGGAGGGGGCGCGAAGGAGGCGACTTTCCCCGCGTTTCTGGGCGGGGAGGGGGAGTCTCTTCATGCAGCCAAAGCCCGCCCGCTGCAAGGCAGGTGAACTCAGCACGGGTCACAATGCGCTGCCGCCGGGGAAGGGAGGGCGAAGGAAGCCAGGGCTGTTGCTGCTGCCGCCGCCGCCACCGCCGCCTCTCTGGAAATATGGGGACCCCCGCGGGGCTCCTTTTCACTCAGGCAAGCCCAACAACTGCGCGGGCGAGCCGGAGGGACAAAGGTCGGCTGGCCCCGAGGGAGGGAGGGGCGTGTAGAAGCTGCTGTAGCTCCCCTCGCCGCTTCTGCGAAGAGAAGGGGTTGCTGGGCAGCTGCGGATGCCAGCGAGCGGAAAAGCCGCCGCAGCTGCACCAGGCTCGCTGCCTTGGAATTCTCCAGGCTGCGCCTCAGGCCTGAGCTGAAGGAAGCGGGCTCGGTGCTAGGGGGGAGGGGGGGCAGCCTAGCACAGGGTAGCCTCGCTGGGACTCCCCCAAGCCTTCCTCCCACCCACCCCTCCCGGCGACAGGAATCGAACAGTCCGTGCGCATGCGTGTCTTCCTAGCGGAGGGATAGTTAAAGAGCCAGGAACTGAGGGAGCGGGCTGCTGGCCTGCTACCGGTTTGGTTGGGACCAGAATCGCAGCCTGGATGGTTGGGAAGAAGAGGCTGAGCCGTACTCGTTGCCATAGCGCCCTTGCAGGTCACTTATGCTCCAATGCGACCTTAATGGATGAGTTTGCTGCGAATTGTGAGCTAGGAGTGCAGGGCACACATTGGGGATTTGTTGTTGTTAGTTGGGAAGTCATTTCCGACCAGTGGTGGGTTTCAAATCCCGTTCCAACCACTACGGTTGGAACGTGCCCAGTATCGCGCAGAGCGCTTGCATGCGGCTTAGCACCTCTACAACGCTCCACGATGCTCCAGCTGCCCCGCGGAGCATCGCGCAGATGTTGTACGCACCATGCCTTAAAACACAGGTAAGGAGCGTGGGCGGGCAGGTGGGCCCTCCAGAGCACCGTACCGGAATGGTATCCAGTGCTCCAGGCTGGCTCCGGTATGGCTGTAGCGGGGCGTACCGCCTGCAACCCACCACTGTATCCAACCCATCCTCTGGACAACGTTACTCCAGGGCTTACTGTCTTCTATAATCCTTTGGAATCAATTTAAGCTCACGCCGACTGCTTTGGTGACTCCAGCCAACCACCTCATTCTCTGTCATCCACTTCTTCTTTTGCCCTCAATCGTTCCTAGCATTAGGCTCTTCTCCAGTGAGTCCTTCCTTCTCATTAGGTGGCCAAAGTATTTTGAGTTTCATCTTCAGGATCTGGCCTTCTAAAGAGGAGTCAGGGTTGATCTGCTCTAGGACTGACCGGTTTGGTTGCCTTGCAGTCCAAGGACTCTCAGGAGTCTTCCAGCACCATAGTTCAAAGGCCTCCATTCTTTGGCACTCAGCCTTTCTTATGGTCCAACTTTCACAGCCATACATTGCAACTGGGAAAAC